GAAATGAAAATGAATCTTGATGTGAATGGAAGGGGAGAGAGAGTGGGAAAGGGGAGGGTTGCGGGTGGGAGGGACGTTATGGGGGGGTGAAGCCATTGTAATCCATAAGCTGTACTTTGGAAATTTATATTCATTAAATAAAAGTTTAAAAAAAACAGTGCTTGGCACACACTTGACATTGCATATTGCTTTGGATTTATTAATGGATTTTAATGTTCACATTTTGAAGTTGATCAACACTTTATTTAAATAGCACATTTGTGAGAAATCTGCTTTTTTTAAAAACAGTTGTCCTATATCTAAGCCTATATCACCCATTTTATGTGTCTTCATATGTGTGGGTAGAGTTGGGATGCCTTTAGACAAACAATGGTAAAAATTTGATTCTTTTTATTAATTGATAATGGCCAATTTGATTCCAACATAAATTGCATTTTCTACTAATTCTTTCTGCTTGAGCACCTGGTCAATAATCTGTGGTATTATTAAGGGTCAAAATATGTATGTCTGAATAAGAATTAAGTTATTAACTCAGTTCTCTTTGGATAGCAAACATTACATTTGTTTATATATTAATAGTTGCCTCTTAACTGATGCTTGGTGCTTCTAAAACTTTGACTTTTACTTATTTCTCCTGATATCAAGATTTTAGAAGAGAAGTCTAAATTTGTTTTTAATACAAGGTACACCTTTCGTTGGTAGGCAGTTACTTTTTTCTGCATCATGTGAATTTCTCCAAGTAATTCATATAGAATTCACAAAGAATCAAGTGTTAATAAAAAAAAAGAATATTGGCTTTCCCTCACAATATGGATTATTTCTCATGATATCGTTACCAAAATTAGGGACATTCCAGGCATATAATACATGAAGTAAAAGGATTCCTCCATTCATTTCTGTTTTTTTAAGACTCATTTATTTATTTGTAAGTCAGAGTTAGAGAGAGAGAGAGAGAGAGAGAGAGAGAGATCTTCCATCCACTGCTTAAGCCCTCAGATACCTGTAACAGCTAGCTTTGGGCCAAGCTGAAGCCAGGCCCTAAGGGCTTCATTTGATCTCCCACAAAACACTTGGGCAATCTTCCACTGCATTCCCAGATGCATTAGCAAGAAGCTGGATCAGAAGTGGAACCACCAGGACAGGAACCGGCACCCATAAGGGATGCTGACATCACTGTACCACAATGCCAGATCTGGCTTCCATTTTTTATTAGGACTTTATTTACTAATTTAATTGAAAGGCAGAATAGAGAGAGAGAGGACAAGACAAAGAGAGAGGCCTTCCATTCACTGGTGCATTCCCAAATGGCTACAACAGCCAGGTGTCTGGGTCAGGCCAAAACCAGTAGCCAGGAACTCCATCGTAGTCTCACACTTGGGTGGCAGATGCCCAAGCACTTGGGCTACCACGGCCTTCCTTCTCAGACACAGTATCAGAAGAGGAGCAGCTGGGACTCGACCTGCCACTCGGACACAGGATACCAGTATTCCAAATGGCACCTAAACACAACGCACCACGGTCTCCTCAGTTTGAAAATATTTTATGTACATCAAACTCTGAAGCAGAGGTACTAAGGATATTATTTTCACAGTGTAAAACTACAGATGCTTTGAGGAAGACAGAAATATAAAAGAAAATGTTAAATATACAATAGCAATGTATTGTAAAGCCAAATTCAAAGACTTTCAGAAAATGAGAGGAAAGGGGCCGGCGCCGCGGCTCACTAGGCTAATCCTCCGCCTAGCGGCGCCGGCACACCGGGTTCTAGTCCCGGTTGGGGCACCGGATTCTGTCCCGGTTGCCCCTCTTCCAGGCCAGCCCTCTGCTATGGCCCGGGAGTGCAGTGGAGGATGGCCCAAGTGCTTGGGCCCTGCACCCCATGGGAGACCAGGAAAAGCACCTGGCTCCTGGCTCCTGCCATCGGATCAGCGCGGTGTGCTGGCCGCAGCGCGCCAGCCACGGCGGCCATTGGAGGGTGAACCAACGGCAAAAGGAAGACCTTTCTCTCTGTCTCTCTCTCTCACTGTCCATTCTGCCTGTCAAAAAAAAAAAAAAAAAAAAAGAAAAAAGAAAATGAGAGGAAAGGACTACTTTCCCAGTAGAAGTTTTATTGATGTATTAAATAGTGGTCACTATCTCTGATTTATGGAAAGTGGTTCTCAAATGTTTATAGAGTCTGAGAGAAGTTTTCTGAACAATTCGAGTTTCTACTTTCCTGCACAGGCTTCTCAGTTCTTTGTTCTCACTGTCTTAGCTTGAAAAATCATGTTTATTCTGAAAGTGAACTTTCCTGGTCTAAGTAAAAAATTTGCCAATATTATCTTGATTATAAGACATATAAAAGACACAAGTTATAAAATACTAAGTTTTAAAGGCATTTTATCAATATCTGCTCATTTTTAGAATATCACAACCCAGCCAGCAAAGCTGAAGTAAATTATTCAAATTAAAAAGCAATGTAATTGTCTGTTTTAAAAAATGTATTTCTAAACCTGAATTTTACTCTACTAATGGCATTTACTAAAATCCTTCTCTTGAGTCTTAGGTCTTGGAAGATAATTTGTTTAAAGATCTCACCACGTGGAATTGTCCAATATGAAGAATGGTGCTGAGTACTACAGTTCACATAGAGATGTTGTCATGTGTCTGTTCATCTGGAAGACCTGCTACTGGCTGATCCGTTTTCTGTTTACTAACATGGACTAGCAAGAACCAAGTGAGCTGATAAATAGAGAAAATCTGGGGGTGCAGAATCTTAAAGAGCTGACTTAATCTTGCAGTGTGCACTAAAGCTTTCTGCTCTAGAAAATTTAGGTGCCTAAATCTGGGAAGACACATTGGGAATAATAGGTAAAAAATAAAGAAAAGTAAGCCATTTGTGATACCTTAAAGTGTAGATAGAATAATTACAGAAATTGCTTTAACTGTGTTCAACTATATTATTTTTTAAGTAGCAAATAAATTAGATCTTTGTAAATTCAGTGACAACAAACAACTGTAATTTTAAGAGAATATAAAATTTTTCAAGTATGGCTTGTATGAAAATGAAAACCGGGTAAGTTGCATTCTAGTACAGAATTATCTATATTTTTGATATTATACCTCCAATATTTGTCATTGTAGTTTTAGTTGATAATCATTCTAACTCTCATCTTTAAAAGAAATACTTGAAATTCATCAATAAATCATTTTTATCTGCAAGTTTGTAGCATTGTCATGAATAATAGCTATAGCAATATTTAAATGTTTTATGCTTCTAAAATACTAAGAATGATTTCCTTAAAAGATAACATATTTCTTAATTTACCCTGATTCACATATATTACTGTTTTTAAATGCTTCCTAGTATTTTTCCAAAATTGGTAATTTTTTAACTTTTGTTATTAACCAATAACAAAATATGTCAAAAATATTTTCTTGTGGTAAAGTGAAAAGTGTAATCATGTAATATATACAGGGTATGTGTGTGTGTGTGTATTAACATCTACATTTATAATTTCACCCTTGAAATTGATGGCCTAAAAGTAAAATGGGAGAATCATCTAGATCTAAAGATATAGACAAGTGCAATTTAATATAATTTTGCTTAGCCTATAGCCCTATAGAAAGACTGTTAACCAGTTAAAACAAAATTTTTAAAGAAAGAAAATAACTATGCCTATTTTTATGAAATAAGACAACAATTCTTTTAAAGCATTCAATAATAATTTAATTTGTTTACTACTGTTATTCATTGAATAATAATTTGTTTACTACTGTTATTGAATTAAATGTATCCATGTTTAAGTACATTCTTTGAAGCAATAAATCTCAGTAATTCATAATATGACCTTATTTGTAAAAGATGGTTCTTATAGAGATTCCCAAGTTAAAATGACACAATTCAATGGACTTTAATCCCATGACCAGTGCCTTTATGAAAAGGGAAAGAGTTTGGGGACATGTATACACACAGAGAGATTTTGCATGTAAAGAGAGATGGGGAGAAGATAGCTCTCGATAAACCAAGCAGAAAGCCCTAAACTGGATCCTTCTCTTACTACCCTAAAAAGAAAACTGCCAGTATCTTGATTTCAAAGTTCTGGCTATAGCAGCAAATTTTCTGTTACTTAAGGCAGTCAAGTTGTGTTACTTTTCAATATAACTCAAACATATAAATGCAATCTGTGGAATATGTGCATTTAAAATAATGCAAAGGTTGTTACTTCTTTGGGACAGTGTAAATGCAAAATATAATCCTTCATATCTTTTAGGAATTTTGATTCAGAATGTCAGCACAATAAAATTCACTGGCAGTGTTTAAAGTAATAATATATGTATATATACTAAAATCACACAAATAGACCAATTAAGAAGATGTCACTCAAGATGATCTTTTTCTTATTTTTTAAATATTTATGTATTTGTCTTATTTGAAAAGCAGATAGATAGAGATTTTCCATCTGTTTTTTTCACTTCCTAAATGCCCACAACAGTCAGGGAAGGTACAGGCTCAATCCTAGGCCTGTAACTGCATCCAAGTTTTCCATGTAGGTGGCAGGGATCCAAGTACTTGAGTCATCAGCTGCCACCTCCAAGGGTGCACATTGACAGGAAGTTGGCATTGGGAGTGGAGTTGTGACTCAAACCAAGGTACTCTGATGTGGAATGTGAGCATCCCAAGTGGCATCTTAAATTTTACACTAAATGCTCGCCTGGGGCCATACTTTTCAAAATTTAATTGTGAAATTAACTATCACTTTTGTTTAATGAAATCAAATACTTCAGAAGTGAAAATACCTGCCTGCTTTCTATAGATTTTCAAAGTGATCTTTTCAGAGGCATATGGTGTTTTCGCCTACTGAGTTTCACAACTCAGTAAATAAGGCAGATCTATTTTAATAGGAAAAATTACTGGAAAGCTGTTAGCTGTTAAGGTAACTTTATCATCATTGTGCATTCTAGAATAAATTAACAAATCCATTTTAATATATATTAGTCACCAATAAAATGAAATATATGCATATATTTAATGTTCAGGTCAAAGAAACTACACACTGATAATTTAGCATTATACCATAGAAAGAAGGACAAATTTTATTTTTAACAAATAGTTTTCTTAAGTCAATACAAAAATGATAGTAGAGTTTAAGAAAAAAGGAAGAATCAGCTGAATCTTAAATAGTCTGAGATTATTTTTACCTAAATGTCACATCTATCCTGTTATTTATTTGACCTCTGTGGGATGACTGTATGAGAGTGGGAAGACACCAAACTGATTTTCTTACACCTGTTTCTTACCTGTAGAATATGACAAATCAAGCAGTTACTTTCCAAATTAAAGGGACAAGCTGTGACCCAGACCAAATTGGGCTCCTATTCAGAGGGTTGGGTATGGCAGAACTAATATTTTGTGTTCCTGCATGAAACATTTTAAGAATCATGCTTGCAATCATTTATTATTTAAACACTGATTCAAACATATTAAGCTTATTTATGACTTTATTTAATCTACCCTTTTAAAATTAAATATTCATCCTCTAAATATTAAACTTAACTGATTTAGGAACAAAAGCAAATCATAAAACATAACAAAAATACAGATGCAAATAAAAACAAATCTTATGATTTACATTAAAATTCATATAAAGTATGATGTTAATATCTTTTTGTTTTGTTTTTTTTTTTTGTTTTTTGTTTTTTGGTTTTTTTTTTGACAGGCAGAGTGGACAGTGAGAAGGAGAGACAGAGAGAAAGGTCTTCCTTTTCTATTGGTTCACCCTCCAATGGCCACTGTGGCCGGCGCACCATGCTGATCTGAAGCCAGGAGCCAGGTGCTTCTCCCGGTCTCCCATGCGGGTGCAGGGCCCAAGGACTTGGGCCATCCTCCACTGCACTGCCAGGCCACAACATAGAGCTGGACTGGAAGAGGAGTGACCGGGACAGGATCCGGCGCCCGGACCAGGACTAGAACCCTGTGTGCCAGTGTCTCAGGTGGAGGATTAGCCTATCGAGCCTTGGCACTGGCCTGATGTTAATATCTTTACTTTTCATTGTAAAAGCTATTGTGACTACCTTAAATATGACGGATTTTAGTTATTCAAAATGTTAAATTGATAGGATTCTGCCTTATGCTAGATGTAATCAACCTTGAAAAATACACATAATTCTGAGATTAAATTCAGAGTAAATTATTTGTGTAGTTTTTGATATTATACATTTCTGCTTTTAATTTAATTTTCTAATCCGAGGCAATATTTTCTCTATATTTTGTAATCCAGGTCCTCCAAATAACTTTTTAAAAATAACTTTTTAGCAGCATGATTCTAAGATGACACAGTAAGAAATACAGAAATCTTTCTTCTCACTTTGACAACAATTGTACAGGCAGAATTAGCCTGGTGTGACTACTTCAGAACTCAAGACTGTGAAGAGCTTTCACTTTCCAAGGTAAAGATTACCAGTAAATTAGAATTAACTTTGCTCAAACCTGGCACAGCAGTTGTTATCATTCCCTCCCTCACATCTGGTGGCACGAAACCAGGCACGTGCTCCTGGAGAGGTTACATGGTGACAAAATCTTGTCTTTCAAATAGTGGGGTTTGTGTTCTCTTCATTTCTGCTCCTGATCATAGAGGTTCAAAGAGACTCGGAGCAATTTTTGCCCACATACAGCTCTTTTCCTTCCCTATGGTGAACTCTTCCTCTGTGGCTAAAGTGCAGAGGAGTTAAAGTGCTAATGCCTTTGCTTCCTTGATTTTACTCATTTTCTTTTTTTTAGAGCTAATCATTAAGGAAGATGACTTGCAAAATGAATGGCTGTACAAGGAATATTAAAAACTAACCATGCATGCATATAGAAATGCAGCATCAGAGAAAACCTAAGGCATTACATTTACACCTTAGGTTCATCTTTGGCATAGAGACAGACTACAAATATCAGAAACTAAAATTAAAAAATAGAAATCCCCAGGGAATGATTATATTTCAGAAGTCACCACATTATTTGATTCAGATTTCCAAAAAATCACAAGACATATAAAGAAATGGAAAAATATGCATCATTTACAAGACAAACAAAAATAAAAATAAAAAAGAAGCTTTCTCTCTGTCTCTATCTCTCTCACTGTCCACTCTGCCAGTCAAAAATAAATAAATAAATAAAAAAGAAGCTATCCATGAATAAGACCAATGGCAGACAGTACACAAAGACTTTAAAAATGCTCAAAAAACTCAAGGAAAACAGGAAAAATGTCAAGAATCTAATGTATGAATATGCATGAATAGTATAGAAATATAAATAAAGGTAGAGTCCAAAGGAAGTCATAAAGAATTCTATAGTTCAAAATTACACTAACCATATAACCAAATGGCTAGAAAGATTTAGAGGGTTATTTGAGTAGGCTGAAGAAAACGTCATATAAGTTTAAGACAAAAAGATTGAAATGGTTAATTTGTGGGATGGAGTGAGAGTGAAGAAAGGTTAGAGATCTGAGGACTCTGCCAAGCAGACCCACACATGTATTGAGGGAGAGAACAAGAGAGAGGAGCAGAGAGATTTTTGAAGAAATAATGGACAGAAATTTCCCAGTGAAAGACATGAGTGTCAACACTGGCAAAGCACAACACATTCTAACATGGCTCTTTGGACCACTTGGGGGGTGAACGAGCAGGTCAATGATTCTCTCTCTCTCTTTCTGTCTCTCATTCTGGCTCTATTGCTCTGCCTTTCAAATCAATTAATCAGTCAATCAAAAAATGGCAGAAAAAAGCATAGATTTTTATTGCTTTATTGTGACTAAATGGAAAATATCCTGGGTGAGACTAAACTTACAACTTGGATAAAATCTCTATGATTCACTGTTATTATTAATATTGTTAAAAGCTAAGAGTAGTGAACTCTTTCCCTGCACCCAAAACTGCTATGAGTTTTTCAGACATTAGTTTACTTAACTTTATAACAATAAATAAATAAATCCATATCGACATTTCAATCCAGTTGTTGAAAGACAAAGAAATTATCTTGAAAATAGCAACAGTTTAGTGACATTACAATAAGATTATCAACACATTTCTTATTTGAAGATGAGAATGCAGTGGACTAAGGTTAACAAGTGCTAAAAGAAAAACTTTCAGTCTACAATCTTGTATGTATAAAATTATTATTCAATAATGATGGACAAATTAGCACATTATTAGATAAATCTGTTTTAGGCAGAGGGTGGCACTGCGTCATAATGGGGAATGCCACCACCTGCAGTGCCAGCATTTCATATGGGCACTGGTTCCAGTCTCAGCTGCTCCACTTCCAATCCAGCTCTCTGCTATGGCCTGAGAAAGCAGTAAAAGATGGCCCAAGTCCTTGGGCCCCTGCACCCACATGGGAGACCCAGAAGAAGCTCCTGGCTTCTGGCTTCAGATTGGCACAGCTCGGCCATTGCAGCTATTTGGGGAGTGAACCAGTGGATGGAAGTCCCTGCTCTCTCTTTATCTACCTCTGCTTCTCTGTAGTTGGGCCTGTCTAATAAATTAATAAATCTTAAAAAAATACTTGAGGGAGTATGTCACCACCAATTGTGTGAAATCCTAAAGGGAACCCTGTAGGTAGAAGTGGAGGGATACTGGAAACTCAATGCCATAAGAATAAATAAATATATCAATAGAGAAAAACATATGGGCAGTCATAAAAGCTAGTTTATTATAATAAAGACTCATAACTTAATTTTCTGTCTACATAAAAAGACTAATGCACTAAAATTTATTAACAAATACACAAAATATAATTCTGTTACATCAAAACTTGAAAAGGGTAGGTAGAACTGTAAATGAGGAGAGCTTTAGTGCAGTAATAAAAATAAGTTGGTATAAACTCACATTAGAGTGTTTATAACTTTAAAATGTTAATTGAAATTTTCATAGTAACAACAGAGGAAAAGAATATACATAGAAAGAAATGAGAAAGCTTTTTGAATGTTTTTCTGCAAAAATAAATCAACTAAAAAGAGAGATTAAGAAAAGCTATAGGTTGGGGCAGATGTTGCGACACAACAGGTTAAGCTGCTATTTGTGAGTCCAAGTTCCAGTTACCCTGCTTTTGATCCAGATTTCTGCTGATGTGTTCTCAGAGGCAGTGAATGATGGATGGGGCAAGTGCCTGAGCCCCTGCAGCTCATACAGGAGACCCTGATGGAGTTCCTGGTTCTGGGTTTCAGCCTGCCCAGTTCTGGCTATTGTAGGGATTTGAAGAATGAACCAGTGGATAAACAATCAATCTCTCTCTCACTCTCTCTCTCTCTCTCTCTCTCTCTCTTTCTGTGTGTGTATGTGTTTGACTCTTCCTTTAAAATACATGTCCTCTTTTTATAAACTTTTATTTAATAAATATAAATTTCCAATGTACAACTTTTGGATTACAGTGGCTTTTCCCCCCCATAACCTCCCTCCCACCCACAACCATCCGATCTCCCACTCCCTCTCCCATCCCATTCACATCAATTCATTTTGAATTATCTTTATAACAGAAGATCACTTTAGTATATACTAAGTAAAGATTTCAACAGTTTGCACCCACACAGAAACGCAAAGTGTAAAGTACTGTTTGAGTACTAGTTATAACGTTAATTCACATAGTACAATACATTAAGGACAGAGATCCTACATGGGGAGTAAGTGCACAGTGACTCCTGTTGTTGATTTAACAATTGAGACTCTTGTTGATGGCATCAGTAATCACCCTAGGCTCTTGTCATGAGCTTCCATAGCTATGCAAGCCTCTTGAGTTTGCCAACTCTGATCCTAATTTGACAAGGCCATAGTCAAAGTGGAAGTTCTCTCCTCCCTTCAGAGAAATGTACCTCCTTCTTTGATGGCCCATTCTTTCCGCTGGGATCTCACTCACAGAGATCTTTCATTTAGGTCATTTTTTTTTTTTTGCAACAGTGTCTTGCCTTTCCATGCCTGAAATACTGTCATGGGCTTTTCAGCCAGATCCGAATGCCTTAAGGGCTGATTCTGAGGCCAGAGTGCTGTTTAGGGTGTCGGCCATTTTATGAGTCTACTATGAAAATACACGTCTTCTTAAGTAGCTATGGGAGAATTTTCCATTATAGATTATATTTTCAGCCACAAATTGAGTCTTGATAGATTTTTAAAGTTAATTTCAAATCCTGACTCTACCGCTGTCTTCTCTCCTTCCATGAATAACTTTCTTTAATGTCTAAACATTTGTTTTCCATATGTAAAATGGAGAGAAAAGTCCTATTTATTTATAGAGTTGGTATGAAGTTAAACAAGCTAATATATGTAAAACTCATAGAAGCTTTAAGTGCAGGAAAAGTGCTCACAACTCTTAGCTTCTAATAGTGTAAATAATAACAGTACATAATAGAGATTTTAGCCAAGTACTAGGTTGAAACTCATCCAGTATATTTTCCATTTAGTCACAATAAAACAGTAAAAATCTACACTTTTTTCTGCATTGTTAAGATTGATTAATCAATTTGAAATGCAGAGCAATTGAGACAGACTAAGAGAAAAAGAAAGAAAGAGAGAGAGAGAGAAAGAGAGAGAGAGAGAAAAGATGTGTTCCTTCTGCTGTTTCACTCCTCAAATGGCTGCAATGGCAGGAGCTGTGCTGATCTTAAGCCAGGAACCAGGAGCTTCTTCTGGGTCTCCCATGTATGTGCAGGGGCCCAAGGACTTGGTCCATCTTCCGCTGCTCTCCCAGGCCATAGCAGAGAGCTGAATCAGAAGTGGAGCACCAGAACTCAAACCAGGACCCACATGGAATACTGGCAGCACTAACAGTGGCTTCACCCTAGGCTACACAGCAGCACCAGACCCTTCTTTGCTTATTTTAAAAATAAACCTCTTAATGGAACAGAAACATATCTTGCCACACTAAAAAGACGGAGGAAGAAATGGCCAACTAGTAGCATGTTAGTCTATAATTCAATATATGAAATGCATCCCCACTCTAATTGGGTTTCTCTGCATGATTCCTGATTCCTTGGACCAAAATATAATCCGAGGTAAGAAATATCTAAAGAAAAATTTATCTAGGAAATTGTATACATTGCTCTTTGCACTAAGAATCTACATTTTCTTTAATTTCAGTTCTTAATCTCATCAAAGCAATACATGCATATGATCAATAACTCAAAATATTCACCAAGACATCATTTATTAATTGGGTTATTGTCTCTTTGTAACACTATTTTCACAAAGTTACTGCTTCAAACAAGGCACTTAATTACCGCAGGCTTTCTGTGGATCAGGAGTCAGGTTGCAGCTTCCCTGGATGTTCTGCTTCAGTGTCGTACAAGGCTGGTGTGAAATTTTTCTCAGGTTCTAGTCTCCTCTGATGACTTCACCAAGGAATGACCCTCTTCTGATCTCATTTATTATTGACCACATTTACTTTCTCATAGACTTTTGGACTAATGGCCATGTCTTACTAGCCTTGCTGGGATGGTCTCATCTTCTTGTCTCTGGAGTGCATGCTCCCATGTAGACAGATTTAATATAAAGTAACATTAACATTCCATCACCTTTGCTTTATTGGTTGTAAGCCTGCCTCAAATCCTGCCCACACTCAGGGGAGATCACTCAAAGCTGTGAATGCAAGGAGATATACCCCCCTGTAGTATTTCCCCCACACATAGTTTAAAATCAGCCCTCAAATCCCCGTATCAATCTAGTTTTGATATCTGTGAACCAATAACTTCCTGCTCTTTTATCTGTTCCTGATATTTTTCAGAAAAGTTTACTTCCATATATTTAAGGAATAGGTCCATAAGACTTAATTCTTAAAACTATCAATTTTAGAAAAATTTTAATCACCTGCAACAGAATACAAGCTTTTATCCATGTGATATATCGTACTGCAACACCAATCCATTACACACATTCACATTCAGAAACACTTATGTAGTATGTGAATATAGAATCTATAGATTTAAATAGCTACTTTATTGTCCTGTTTATTATTTTTCATTATATTATAGTTTGTTGTTTTATATAGAATATCATTCATTGTTTACAAAAAGAATTCATAAATTTCTTTCCATCTCTAATGTATAGCATCCAATTATCTATCATTTTGGAGCAACTGACTTTCAATGAATTTGTTAATTGACTTGTTTTTCATTTTGTTAGTCTCTTATATACTTAATCAAAATTCAATCACAAATACTCTCTTCATGCAGTTATCTAAATCTCCTTTTACTGCATTGAAATATAAAAGGTATATCTCAATGTCAGGTTCTTGGAGTACTTAGTATCATCTAAAATTGTCTTCGGAGGAATATAATTTATTTTTGTTCCACAATTGTCATCCAAGAGTTTTCTTTAACTTTTATTCCAGAGAAGTTTTTGACATCTCTCTTGAAACTCTGGTTCCTATGACCTCCTGTTTATACCTTAATTTTGTTAGAGCTTTATTGAGAAAGGATTCATTAAAGTAAAACTTATGAGATCCCATATGCTTTCTATCCTAACTAAATGGTAATATGGCTGAACACAGAATTCTAGGTTAACAGTCACCTTCTAATTTTTTCAAACATTTCTCCATTATTTCACTGATTTTATTGCTACCTTTTACAAGCTAAACAACTTTTTGGTCCCTAATCATTTCAAGTATCCTTTCTTATTTGGTACTTTAGTGTTTTTTAGCTTAAAATTCTGAAAATTTTTGATGATACACATTGGGATAGTTCGATTTTAATAACTGTTTCTGGTACTTCACTGAGTGCTTTCAAACTGGAAATACACACTTCGCAATTCCATGAGATATACTGAAGTATTTGTTCAATGATTTTCATTTTTTTGTTTTATTTTTTCCTTTTCTGATTTCTAGTATCTTATTGCTATACTCCACACCCAAATTCCAATGGTTAAAATATTTTCCTCTAATTTTCCACATGTATCAATGAGTGATTTAAGGGAGATTTTCTCAGGTTTATTTATTTATTTATTTTTGACAGGCAGAGTGGACAGTCAGAGAGAGAAAGAAGAAAGGTCTTCCTTTTCCACTGGTTCACCCTCCAATGGCTGCTGTGGCTGGCGCACCACGCTGATCTGAAGCCAGGAGCCAGGTTCTTCTCCTGGTCTCCCATGCGGGTGCAGGGCCCAAGGACTTGGGCCATCCTCTACTGCACTCCTGGGCCACAGCAGAGAGCTGGCCTGGAAGAGGAGCAAACAGGACAGAATCTGGCACCCTGACCGGGACTAGAACCCAGAGTGCCCTGCCGCAGGTGGAGGATTAGCCTATTGAGCTGCAGCACAGTCCCAGTTTAATTTGTAATTCTATAGTGATTCCAAATTTTGTTAATAAGATTTTGAAGACTGAAATTGCTTTAGGAGTTTATATTTATTTCCTTTTTTCATGTATATACTTTGTATCAGTTCTAAGTTATTAATGATACTGGGGCTGGTATTGTGGCTCAGTAGGTTAACCCTCCACTTGCAGCACTGGCATCCCATAAAGGTGCCAGTTCTAGTCTCAGCTGCTCCACTTCCAATCCACCTCTGCTGTGGCCTGGGAAGGCAGTAGAAGATGACCCAAGTGCTTGGCCCCCTCAGCTTCTTGGGAGATGTGGAGGAAGCTCCTGGCTCCTGGCTTCCGATCAGCCCAGCTCCGGCTGTTGAAGTCATTTGGAGAATCTCTCCCTCTCACTGTCTGTGTCACTCTCAAATAAATAAATGAAATCTTCAAAAAATGATTCTAAGGATAAATATTTCCATTCTCCCTCAGGAATTTTATTCCCCAACTAGGCGTCTATTTTCCAGTAAGCTTTTGGTTATGATCTTTTACACTTAGAAGTTTTACTCAGTCTCTGGCTATTTTTGGATATCATCTCACATTAAGGAGGGTAACACTAAAAGCTGAATGGAAACTACACAGAGAGGATTGTTTTACTGACTGTGAATTTCACTGTGGGATGAACTGATTGGAACTTTTCTGATGAGAACCACTGATGACATTATCTTTGAATCTTTATCCTTTGATCGGTCCAAATCCCTAGATACAAATTTTCTAGACTCTTCACAAATAGTATTAGTCAACTGACTCAGACCAAAAGCAGAAAGAACCAAGGAGGTCTCATTATTTAAGAAATTCAATTTCTCTGCTAGCACCGCGGCTCACTAGGCTAATTCTCCACCTGCTGCACCAGTACTCCAGGTTCTAGTCCCAGTTGGGGCACTGTTCCTGTCTCAGTTGCTCTTCTTCCAGTCCAGATCTCTGCTGTGGCCCGGGATGGCAGTGGAGGATGGCCCAAGTGCTTGGGCTCCTGCACCCGCATGGGAGACCAGGAAAAGCACCTGGCTCCTGGCTTCAGATCAGTGCAATGAGCCAGCCGTAGTGGCCATTGGGGGGGGTGGTGAACCAACGGAAGGAAGACCTTTCTCTCTGTCTCTCTCTCTCACTGTCTAACTCTGCCTATCCCCCCCCCCAAAAAAAAATTCAGTTTCTCTTCACTTCTCTGTTTTACTGTAGGGACATGAATACTATCTCTAGGAAAGGGTATCTTCTAAGGTATCTCTAGGAAAGAAAATGTTTTGTTTTTCCACCTATACAGGATAAATTTCTAGTCTCTATAGTCTTTTGGTGAATGTTTATGTATGTATTTGGGGGGAAGTGCAGTTGTCTCACTCTCCAAAGAAGGACAAGGATTCTTGAGGAAGTTCAAGGATGATTCTGACAGTGTTAAAAAACTTTCTACTGACTCCCCTATTTGGATGGTTCATTTTGCTGTGGGATTCAGTTTTGCCCATGAATGGGATAATGTACAACGTTTCTGGTCTGCTGATTCAGAGATGCCTGTTGGCTGTTGTGCTTTATGGTTTCCAGACTGTGCTCCCTATCCCTTTCCTCCGTTTCACTTGATTATTTTGTGTAGAAATTAAAATGCTGTGTTATCCTTACAGTGGAAAGTCAGAACTGGAATAAAAGGAGTATATTTAACTTTTTTATTAAATTGCATTAATTTAAGAGAGAGTGAGAGAGAGACCTTCCATTTGCTGGTTTACTTCCCAAAGGCTTGCAAGACCTGGGGCTGGATCAGTCCAAAGCCAAGACCCTGGAAATCAGTCTGGGCTTCCACATGGGTGGTAGGAACCCAAGTACTTGAGCCATCATCATTTGCTACCTCTTAGAGTTCTTATTTTCAGGAAACTGAAATTGGAGGCAGAGGCAGGACTTGAACCCAGGCACTCTGATATGGAAACAGAGGACCCAAGCCACATCTTAAACACTGTTTCAAATGCTCCCCTTTAAATGGTATACATTTACACTGCCACCTTTCATCTGAATTTTGGGGAATCTTTTTATCCAGTAAAGAGACTATTGTTTTTTTCAGCAAAATAATTGGAAAAAAAATGATGTGGTGTACAACAACAGGTAATCATGAAAATAATTTGCACAATGATAGCTGTAATTGTGTTTTGCAGCTACTGTAAGAAATCACCACCAATCAAGGGGCTGAAAAGAACAAAAACTGCTTCCCTCGCTGTGCTGGAGGTCAGGATCTCAATACTGAGGTCTTGGGACAGATGAATCTGCGAAGCTCTGGGAAAGCATCTATTCCATGCCACTCTCCTAGACCCTGAGGGCTATGAGCTAGCCATGGGATTTCTCGGTTTGCAGCTATACCACTGCGATCTCTTTCTCCATTTTCAAAGCAGCTTCTCTTTTCCTCTGTGCTTTACCTGATCTATCGGCCCCCAGTCATTTTTTTCCAAATAAAGTGACATTCACAGAATCCAAGTATTTGTATTTGGAGATAAATATAAACACCCCCATCTAATAATCTAAACATTTGATTCAATAGATTATGATAGCACTATTTTTAAAATATAAATTAGGTGTTTTTTCCCCTCAAATTTAAGCCTCTTTCCAAGTGAAGAACATAAAGTTGGGCATTTAAAAAAAAACTATGTTTAGTATGTCATTTAGTATGCACATGTAATGTACAATTTGTCTAGTGCTTTCAAATTTTGATTTTATACTAACAGATATAAAAAGAATAGATGAACAAACTAAGCTACAAAACTGAATTTCCTACTCACTAATGCAGAACAAAATAAGAGTGTTACTAGACCAAGCATCTCGGGACAGATGATATTCATTGTGTGTGCAGTGTGGCAACACAGAATATGAAGTATGAACTGACATAGTGCTGTACTTATCAGAAATGGTTCACAGAACACATACTGCTAAGACTTGACCTATCTAAAATAAGTAAAAATGCACTCATTCAAAAAGGCAAAAACAAGCTCAAGTTCTATGTGATTTGTTGATTCAATAACTTAAATTCCTCTAATGCTATTAGAAGATAATTGGGATTGATCAGTGACTGTGGAAGTTTGTTTCTTTTTAGAAATATGAAATAATCTGCAGTGAGACATTGAGTAAAACTTGAGACTGTAGATACCTAGACAGGCTTATGAAGAAAGAATAATAAAAATGATATGATTTTTTAGTAATCTAACAGAAATATTGTTAGTCCGTGTTTTAAACTGAGCTCTCAAAGATCTTTTACATATTTTGGAATTACCAATTTTTAATATTATGCAATTTTTAGATTTTTTACATGAGAAAATAATTTTTAAAGTAAGACATAAACTTGAGTATATATGTGACAAACTTAAAGTGCTAATATTTATGGCAGCTAAGATTTGCTGATTCAAAAACTAATTACAATTCTAATTAAATTTATTACAATATTATTCTAGGAGCAAAATTTATTTTCTTATAATACTGACATATTGATGGCTGACTGTTGGCTTAATTACGGCTAAGCTATTATTAGAACATCAACTCCGCATTGTCTTTCTAGATAACTTGACTTGTCCAGATTTCTATAGTTTGTCAATTCAACTGGTTAAAGTCTGCTACCAGCGAATAAGATTGCTGAATGGATAATCTAAGTCAGCCATGAAAAAGAAACTCATTGTGCTATTAACATAGGTCTTTCCCTTTTATAATGACTAAGCCAGCTTTGTTAGGGATTTATCCAAAAGCTATCAAGAGAAAACTACTAAAATGATAACTTAAATAAATTAAAGGTTATTTTTCACTTACATTTAAAAAGTTAACATTTAGTCAGCCTAGAGACTGCCTACTGGCATCTTTCTTCTTTGTGGCACTTTTGTTATAAAGACTTATTTATTTGAAAGTCAGAGTTACATAGAGAGAGAAGGAGAGGCAGAGAGAGAGAGGTCTTCCATCCGCTGGTTCACTCCCCAGTTGGCTGCAATGGCTGGAGCTGCGCCAATCCAAAGTCAGGAGCCAGGAGCTTCCTCTGGGTCTTCCACGCAGGTGCAGGGGCCCAAGGACTTGGGCCATTTTCTACTGCTTTCCCAGGCCACAGCAGAGAGCTGGATCGGAAGTGGAGGAGCTGGGTCTTTAACTGACGCCCATATGGGATGCCAGCACTGCAGGCAGTGGCTTTCCCCACTATTCCAGTGTGCCGGACCCTCTATCTGTTCTTAGAGGTTTCACTTATTTGGTCATATTTTAGAAAGCACAGTGGTGCAGGATCAAGCAGAAACAGTCCATGAAACCCCCTGGTGTGTTTTCCTATATACTGTCTTTCCTAGAAGTGCTACACTCTGTTAGCTAAGGAGATACCACACCTTGCCACACAGCTAGCCCTTGAGCAAGGAAGTCTCTGTGTGTAGCAGAGTGAACAGTGGCTCCCTGTAGACATATGTCTTAATCTCAAGAATTTTAATTTATTACCTAATCTGACAAAAGATTCTTTGCAGATGAAATTGTTAAAATCTTGAGATAAGGAGATTAACCTGGACTACTGGGATAACTACAAATCAATCACAAATCCTTACAAGTCAAGAATCCTACCCCTGTGGGTCAGAGATCTGCCCATGAAAAGCAAGTACAAGTTACGTGACTTAAGAAGGAATTAACTTGCAATAGTTTTAAAGATAGAGAAAGTGATCATGAGGCGAAGAATGTGACAGGCATATAGAAGCTGCAATGGTTAAAGAAATGTGAGTTCTCTGAGAGCCTGAAGAAAGAATCCAGGGTGCTGGTGCTTTTGAGATTAGGCTGTTGAACCTGTACCAGTATTCTGACCTACACTGTGGTAAGATAATGTATGCTGACTTTAAGCCACTAAGTTTCTGGTAGATTGCTATAACACAGAAAAGAGATACACTGAGAAATATTTTTAAACATTTATTTGTGCAAAAGGAAGAGTGAAAGAGGAATGGGAAGAGAGAGAGAGAGAGAGAGAGAGAGAGAGAGAGAGAGAGAGAGAAAATCTCCCATCCTCTGATTCACTTATCAAAGGGCTGCAGAAGCCAGGGCTAGGCCAGGCAGAAGCCAAGAGCCAGGAAATTCATGCAGGTCTCCCCATGGGTAGAAGAATACCAGGTACTTTGGCAGCCATGTGCCTTTCCAGGCACAACTGGCAAGGAGTTGTATTGGAAGTGGAGAAGCCAAGACAAACTAGCACTCTAATATGGGATGCTGGCATCACAAGTTGTGGTATAACCCAAAGGCCACAAAAGTAGCTACATGAATTCTGTTTTTAAATGTGGAGAATCAGTGTTCTTAAGTATTTAGTCAAAGAAGACGCCGAGAATGAGTATTAGGTAGCAATATTCTATTTGTATCAATCTCCCCTCAACCTATTTTTCTCCACCTGCCTCCACTGAAAACCAATTAATTAGAATGAACTATTATCCCAATCAGTTTGGAATGCAATTAATCTAATAGTTTAAAAGTTCAACTCTAGATAATATAAGAAGTATTATTAAATGTTTTAAGAATAACTTCTAAGTATGCATTTCTTAATGCTCTGAAGAAGTGAAATTCTTCATTAAAATTACTAAGAGACAAATGTGGTTTCAGATTCTTACAACTAACACTCTCTTCCCTGGGACCTTAAATATCTCACTTCTAGCATTTTTGAGGTCTCAGCTTAAATAATTCCTTTTCCAAGAAACTTCCCTTGAACCATCCTGTATGCTATAAGCATTACCTCTGTTTCCATTTCTCTCTCTACTGTACCACTAAATATATTTCCCATTATTGAGGTTAACTTATTTATTAAGCATTTTACTTGAATATTTTCCTATCATCCCTATAAGAATATGACTCTATCCAGCTGTATTTATTATTTATCTTGTACACTCCTGACCATTAAATATTAGAAGAGTGTCTGACACATATCATGGATTCAGTAAGATTTCTCTGAAGTAGTAAGAGCCCAGAGTGCTTTGGCCTCAATGAATGAATGAATTTTTATTAGTTAAAGAACACTAAACCATATACTTGAAGAAGCTGTATTAGAAACTGAAAAATATATAAGGACTATTACAGGAATATAAGCTGAAATTATCAGAAATTTTAAGCAACATTGACAATGTTGTAGTTCGCATTGCATCTAAAAGTTGACAAGAACATATTGGGTTAAGTCCTTTTTAGGAAAAGCAAAATTACATGAAAAAGAAAGCATCTTGCAATAGACTAAAGGAGTACTCCTTTAGTGTTAGAGCTTATTTGGATCATATGGGGTTTTTAAAAATGAATATTCCTGATTCCTAAACATAGGGGTTTTAAGAAACCAGACCCCACTGAAAACCTGAACATGAAAAATGTAATAAGTAACTAAAAATGCAATAGGTCTACTAAATATTTTGTGGTTTATTCTTAAATAGAAGAATTAAATGTGTAAATATTTCAAATGAGCATTGTTGAAAAATGAAGTAAGGAAGTTACTGAGCATTGAGCAAAGAGGGCAGAATTTAGACACTTTTCTTAAGTAAAATCAATGGGACTGATGACCAGTTTGGATGGAGAGAAAGGTACAGTATTCAGGTTGCTGTCATTTTCCTCTGAGAACAGTCATTATTGTTACCTGTGAGGCAAAGGAGTCTCAGACGTGCAAAGGAGTCTCAGACGTGCACAGGAAGAGAAAAGCCCAATCATCTCAGAATCCCAACTGATCCCAAACCTTGGCTAACCAATGTGTTAAATGAAGAGGAGTAGATCATAGCAGTGCCAGAAACACTGCCCAACAGAGCTCAGACCTAATTGCAGAATCACAAACAAGTAAAGTGTTTCTTGAGTCAACCACTGAATTTGGGGGTGTTTTTAAATCCATCGCCATGCCAAAATCCAAGGGCGAAAGAAAGTGTCTTGAAAATAAGAGCATGTTACAAAAACAGAGTCAAAGCCAGAGACACAGATTTTGGATACACAAACATGCAGAGAAAAGCTAACGCCATTTTAGAGAATAAAATGATCCATGGTATGATCCAGAAAAGAAAAATTTTAATGGCAGAATGATATGTGTACCCAATCTTTATGATCTAAGCAAACAAAAAAGATTCACCATAATGCAGAACAGTCAATAGTTGAGTCATGGAAGCCCAGATGAAAATTTTTGTGTTGAGTGTGAAGTAGTGACTTCCTAAGTATTATTAAGTGTTAGAGAGAAATCAAATATAATTTTGGTCGTAAGTCTACTAATTTTGCAATGAAGAGATCATCAGTGTCTTCCATAGTAGTAATTTCATTCAAGTGTTATGGTTGAGAAGAAAATGAAAAGAAGTAGAAATAAACTATGTGTGTGTCTTTGTGTAGGTAGATGTGGGTTGCATAGGGAGTTGGTCATATTTCAGTCTGACACTAAATAAATAGATGAAAAAATAAGTAGATTGGATACCCAGGAAATGGGAGGACCAAATGATAACTTTATAATTGTGGTCATATAGTCATTGAAATTTCCCCTTCCCTTCTTGGAGGGGAAAAAGGAGGAACCACACATTTCTTTCTGGGAGAGAAAGGAAAGATTTTAGAAGTGATGATTAATATACACTACTTTAAGATAAATTTTAAA